CTGAGAATGGCAAATTAAGAGGAATGGTGCTGCATTAATTATCAAAAAGAACATTTCAAGATCTTTCTTTAATTGCAATTATGCAAGTGATAGTATACTGCTATAGACATACAAAGGAAACTTGTAATTATTTAAATATATATGCACCAACCAGTAAATCCAAAGATTAAAAGAATTTTATTCTATCAACTTTTGCATCCTGAATTTGATTGAACATTAAACCAAGATGCATTGATATTAATTGGTAACTGTAATGCAAAAGTTAGAAAAAAAGAAGACCTGGCCCCTTGGTGACAGAAGTGAGATATTGAGAAGACTGGGAATTCCAGAACAATTAATTGTGCTCAGGCAGTTTTCTGAAAGGAACAAGAGAACTCTGCCTAGTTTAAAAAACAGGAAGCTGTGGCCTAGTGGCAAGAAGCTGCACACTGCAATCTCAAATGTGCGTGGTTTGAATCCACCAGATGCTTCTCAGGGGAAGGAGAGGCAATCTTCTCTTGTGCCAGTTGGATCTGATTTGACAGCACACAGAAAGAAAAGGGGGAGGAGGGAAGAATAAAAACAGGAAGGTTTGTGTCTGGGTTGTAGTCTTTCCTATACCTATTCAATCTGTGTGTTCAGCAGATCAGTTGAGAAGCTGACTATATGAAGAAGAATGTGGGATAAGGATTGAAGGAAGACTCATCAACAACTGCGCTATGCAGATCGTCCAACCTTACTTGCAGAGACTGAAGAAGACTTAAAGCACTTATTAAAGATCAAAGACTATAGCCTACAATATGGATTTCACCTTAACATCAATAAAACAAAAATCCTCACCTCAGGGCCAATAGGTAACATAGTGATAGATGGAGAAAATAATACCAGAAGAATGTCTATTTGTGTTCTATTGTCTATGCAAAGGCATTTGCCTGTGTGAATCACAACAAACTATAGTTAATATTGAGAAGAATGGGAATCCCAGAACACTTAACTGTGCTCACGAAAAACCTACTCCAAGACTCAGAAGCTAGTGTCCGAACAGAGCAAGGGAGCCCTGCATGGTTTAGAATCAGAAAGAATGTGCTTCAGGGTTGTATCCTTTCTCCATACTCATTCAATCTGTATCCTGAGCAAATAATTCACAAAGCTGAACTCTATGAAGAGGAATGTGACTTCAAGATTGAGGAGGACTCATCAACAACCTGAGTTATGCAGATAATATAACCTGGCTTGCTGAAAGTGGGGAAGATGCGACATTTTTGCTGCAGAAAATCAAGAACTAAAGCCTTCCTTATGTATTCAGTCTCAGCATCAAGAAAACAAAGGTCCTCACCACAGGACCAACAGTCAACAATATGATAGATGGAGAAAGAATTGAAGCTGTAAATGATTTCATTTTGCTTGGATCAACAAACAACACCCTCCATACCAGCAGTCAAGAAAACAGAAGATGTATCACACTGGGCAAGTCAGTGGTCAGGGACCTCTACAAAATGCTGAAGAGCAATGATGTCACTTTGAAGACTAAGGTACACCTGATTCAGACTGTGGTCTTCTCAATAACTTGCTACACATCAGAGAGCTGGACAATGAATAAGAATGACAAAAGAAGTATTTATGCCTTTGAGTTGTTCTTCTGGCAAAAAGAACTGAATAACCCATAGACTGCCAAAGAAACAAATGAATATGTCCTGGGAAAAGTGCAGACAGAGTGCTCTTTGGACACAAATATGGCAAAGCTTCTTCATCTTTCATATTTTGGACATGTAGTTAGGTGAATTTATTCCTTGGAAAAGGACATTATGGTTGGAAAGATGGAGGATGAGTGAAGGAGAGGAAGCTCTCCAATAAGGTGGGTTGACATAATAACTTCAGCAATGGCCTTTAGTGTGTCAGGGATGGTAAAGACGGTATAGGATAGGGCAGGATTCAGGTCAGCTGTTGGTTTTACTGGACTCAACAGCACCTAACAACAACTATTTCATTTTACTTGGAGCCACAATCAACACTCATGGCAGCAACAACCTAGAAATCAGAAGATGTATTACACTGTGAACATCTGTCATCAAGGAGTTCTTAAAAGTGCTGAAGAGCACGGATTTCAAATAAACAGCTAAGGCGTGCTTGATGCACATCATAGCATTTTCATTTGCTTCCTATGCATCTGAAACTGATGCCCTTTAATTGCAGTGTTGAAGAAGAGTATTGAGCAATCTCAAAGACTGCCAAAGAACAAACAAGTCTGTCTTGGAGGAAGTGCAAAGTGCAGTCAGGTTGCTCTTTCAAGGTGTGGATGGCCTCACAAACTTTGGGCAGGTGGTTAGGAGGGGCCAGTCTTTGGAAAAAGACATCATGCTGGGGAAAGTAGAGGGTCAGTGAAGAAGACCTTTCAATATGATGAACTGACAAATAATGGGCCAGAGCATGAAGGAGATTGTGAGGATTGTGTACAAGAAGGCAAGTGCAGTTGTTTATAGGCTTGCTGTGAGTCAACACGATGGCACCTGACAACAAAAACAACAGTCGAGCTGCTAAGAGTAGGTCAATTTAATAGCAATGAGTTTTTGGCTTTTATGTTTAGAATCGTGAGAGAAAGATACTGCAGTGAGCGTCTGCGAAGCTTTACAGTCTAGGAAATCCTATGGGACAATTCTTCTTTATCCAATAGGATTGCTATGAGTTTGAATCAAATGGACAGCATTTTTTTTTAATGGGGAAATCATGAATGCAGTCCCCCACTACCACAAATTATGCAGTTGAGTTTCCCACATTTGGGAAAATCACAGGGGTCAGCACTTCTGAAGTGCAGTGGATAAGCCTCACCCTGGGAAAACCGCTTTCCTGATCATGGTATCTCCCCTGACAGGTAAGTTGTTTTTTTTTTGTTGTTGTTGTTGTTTTAAATATTTGGAGTAAGGAGCTATGATAGTCCAACAGTTAAGCACTTAATTGATAACAAAACGTTAACTGTTTGAATCTATCAGCTGCTTCTCAGAAGAAAGATGTGGAATTAATCTTCTGAAAAGACAAAGTAGTAGACATTATAGTACAGTACTAAATTGACTCATTAGAGATCCCCATCAGGTTTTTGATGTAACATTTAATGAGAGGGGATTGCCCATATTTCTGTCTCAGAGCAGCTGGTGGATTTGAACCTTTGGACATGCACGGTCTTTTTGTTAGCAGTGCTGTGCACATGTTGGAAATAATGGAGATCTCTGACCTACAGGATCACTATGAGTTGGTGTTGACCCAAAGGATCTGGCTTTTGTTTCTTTTGGTGTACTAAAACAAACCCAACCCACTGCCCTCGCCTCATAGGGACTATCCATGTGAAGCTGTAATCATTTATCACCAATCATGGCTCCAGGCACTTAAAAAAAAAAAAGTCTCTTTCGTGTATTATCTCTGATGGTGGTACATTTTACGGAATGAAAAAGTACAGAGTAGGGACCATAATGAGTTAAATTCCAGCTTTAACCTAGTCTAGTATCCATTTGGCTTATCATTGTGTTGTTTTTTTTTTCAAAAATATTTTATTCACAAATAGAAGGTTCATGACAACCCTTTATGGAACAAGTGTATCAGCATAGTTTTTTTTCAAACATGATGCTCATTTCATCTATCTTTCAGTAATTCTTACAATATTTCAAACCTTTTTTATAACGTTATTATTGGCCACTATAACGTAAAGTTCTAAAGAGCAAGAAAGTCAGTTTAAAGATTAAAGTGCACTCGACCAAAGTAATGGTATTTTCAATCACTTTATACGCAGCTAAAAGTTGAACAGTCAATAATGAAGACTGAAGAAGAATTGATGCCTTTGAATTGTAGCATTGACAAAGAGTACTAGTTATTCCATGGGCTGTTAAAACAATAAATTTATGTTGAAAGAAGCTTAATTTCACATATTTTGGGCATATTGTCAGGTGGAGGAAACAGAAGGTCAACAAAAGAGAGGAAGACTCAATGATATGGATTGACACAGTGATTTTAACAATAGGCTTAAGCAGGTCAGAGATCATGAGAATGGCATAGGATAGGGCAAGGTTCAGATCTGTTGTTTACAAGGTCACTATCAGCTGCAGTTGACTCGATGGTACCTAGTAACAACACTACCACCATATAATGTAAACATACCTTTTATAGGCACTGGGCAACCACGTGACTCTGAGATTTACTTTATTTATTTATTTATTTACTTTATTGAGGTGGTCTGAAAGCAATCATTTTATATCATTTTATTGGAAGTTGGTAAAAGATAGATGTATGAATTATTTCACACTGTCCAGTTAATCCTGGGGGATCCTTAAACCACTGCTCTTGAGCTGATTTTGACTCCTAGCGATCCTTCATCTATAGTTTCTGAGACTATACATCTTTAGCTGATGGACTTGAAAGCCGATCTTTCAGTTACCAGCTCAATTTTTAAGGTCCTGAACTAAGTCAAAGATAGTCAACCTTTTGCTGTATTACATTTCTGAGGATAAAGCAGGTTCCTATCAGTGAGTGCTAGCAACTTGGACGCTGAGCACTAACTTGCTGAAACAAAAACCAAAAAAGCAATCAAAATACTGCACATGAACCACTCTAGAAAAAGTTCTTCACTCCACGATCTCTATGGTCAGCTCTTCCTGAGCATTCCCTGGGGTTAGTGCTGGTTGGCCCTCCCAAGCCTCTCTGCCAAGCTGGGAATGGTTGACCTCTTCCGACTCTACCAAGTTTGATACGGAGGGGTGGTCAGATTTAAAGTGTAGGAGACACTCTATCAAAGCAAAACAAGAAGCTGATTTTCTAAATTAAATCAAGAAATATATGTATTTCAACATGCTAAAGAGATAATTATAAGTTTATGATTTTTTTTCTCCTTCTTGTTCTCCTGCCTAAACCTCTCCTCGCCTCCCCTGCATCTTTCGCTCTGGGCTTTTGGTCTGTTCCGCGCCGGGTGACTTCCGTAGTCACGTGCTCCCCCTGTCCTTCAAGAGGAACGTGATTCCTGTGGTGGGTTTTCTTGAGCCATGGCTGCCCTCCTGAGACCAGCTCGCTGGCTCCTTCGCACGTGCCCAGCCCCGCGACTCCCGCTCTCCCTGCGCTTCTCCGGGGGAGGCCCAGGCCGCCTGCACGCCGTCCCCTGTCTGTCTGCTGCCCGTGTGGAGCCCTTCTCCAGGTACGTGCTCAGGTCTCCTCTGCAGGCTGCAGAGAAAGAGCTCTCAGTGAAGACTGGATCTCTCCCATGCTCTGCTGGCCCCGGGGCCTGACACCTGGAGACCTCTCACTACGCTCTCCGCCTGTAGTTTTCAGGTGACTAGGTTAGTCTTCAGAAGGTCACAGGCACGATCATGGCTCGCTTCCGGCTGGATCCTTCTCTTTCCGTCCCTAAGCTGGCAGTAGGAGCAGGTAAGGGACTGTGAAGATGAGGACAGTTTGAAAGATGCATGACGAGGCAGGTATTACGCCACTTTGCCCCGTTCCCTACCTCGAGGACTATTGGCTCTAACCTAGAATTTCGATTTCGAGAGCATTCATCGTGCCTAAAGAGCTAGGAGTTGCGCTGCTGACTTAAAAGTAAGCGGTTTGATCCACCAACCACTCTGCAGGAGAAAGTTTCTGCCTGGGACAATTTGTTGTTGTGTTCCGTCGAGTTGAAAGCGACCCACAGATGATTTCCCAGCAGGTTTTCTTTGGAGGAGACCGCTTGGCCTCCCGTAGAGCAGATGATGGATTCGAACAGCGTGGCTTTTGGTTGGCAGCGAAGCCACCGGACGCCACCAGTGTCTCTGAAAACTCACTGGAATGCCAATTATTGATCAATTTCTGCTCGGCGCGCACAGCAAGTTATTTTAGGGATGAGTTTTCCTTCTGCCGGAGTGCTCCTTGGAAGCAAAGGTTGCTAAGTTTCGTCTCTCATACTTTGGACATGTAGTTAGAGGAGGCTGTTCTTTGGAAAAGGGACATCATGTTTGGAAAGATGGAGGGTCAGTGAAGGAGAGATTGACCCTCAGTTAAATAGATTGACACGGTGCCTTCAGTAGTGGGCTCTAGTGTGTTAGAGATGATGAGGATTGCACAGACAGGGCAGGGTTCAGATCAACTGTTCTCAGAGTCTCTATGAGTTGTACTCGACTCAGTGACACCGAACAACAAAAAGTGTATGCGTTGAGAATTGCCGCAGGTTATGTAAGTGTCAATGAGAGCATAAATGAACACATGCAAGCAACTTTACTGGCTAGAAAGGCCAGTAGAACACGTTAGTGTGAAATGTTAGAATGAATATCATGAAGTTGTTCAGATGTGATCTTCTGTAGGTTTGGGGTTTTTTTTTTTTAAATTTTTATTATTTTTTTTATTTTTTATTTTGTGTGTGTGTACCGTCAAATCAGATCTGACTGGTACAGGAGGAGATTGCGCCTCCTTCTCCAGCAGAGCATCTGGTGGATTCGAACTCTGTTCCTCTGGGATTGCAGTGCAGCTTCTTGCCACTAGGCCACCAGAGCTCCTCGGTTTGGGGGTTTTTTGTTTTGTTTTTTAACATGATGAATTTTGACGGAGGTAATAATTTGAACAGGGCACTTAAGTTTTATGCCATTAGGCAAGCTGCTAAACATTTCCTTGCCTCAATTTCCTTTATTTAGCAATGAAAAACTTGGTCTATAGTAAATACTTCTTCTATCACTATAATAAAAATAATGCTAAGTACTATTGGTTATTCAGATCTTAGTCCCTGTGTAAAATTAAATGGGGAAGATTTTATGAGTTTTTTAAACAACTTTAAGTCTGTGGAGTGTAGCCTGTTTGTAATTTGGACCCTAACTGTGTGTCGGGGACGGGAGGGGTTTGTTTACCCAGCTTGCATGATAATTTTTCTGAAGTCATGCCTCTTTTCATAGGATTATCTCTATTATGCGATTTTTCAATTCCTCAAACCATGGACCAGAACAAAGTTGATGTGTATTCTTTTCATCTTCATAATTACATTTGAAGAAAATGAAATAACGTGTAGTCTAGTAGAAGATGTATTGGTCTGGATGTTCATCACACATTTGCATGCTGCATAACCTTGTATATTTTCTTAACATCTCATTTTTACTTTCATTATCTAAAGTTGGAGAGAGCCTTTTCTTCCTCCATTGTAAAGTTGGCTTTATGGCTCACTTCAAATGTTACATGTTCAGAGTTTACCTCATTACACAGTGTAAAACCTGTTTCACATTTATCCATGCCTTGTATTACTCCTGTGATAGTTTTACTGATTTGTTCGCTGTTTGTTTTCTTGTTGTTTACCCATAGCTGAATGACTGATAGCTGACCCTCCAGCAGGTTTTCAGAGGCAGTTTATCACATAGGAGGAACTACCTATCCTTCTCCCACAGAACAGAGTAGGTGATGGCCTTGAACCATGAACTTTCAGGATTGCAGCACAGTATCTTGCCACTAGGCAACCAGAGTAGTAAATAAGCTGCATGAGAGCTGGGTTTTCTCTTGTTCACCACAGTACACAAAGCTTATGCTGCCATTGTTGCTGTTGAGTATATTCAATGGGAGTCCACATAAAACAGAATGACATGTTGTCTGGTCCTGTGCCATCTTCACAGTCATTGGTGTATTGTGGCCTCTGTGTGTTTTGAGTGACTTCCAACCCGGAGAATCTCATCTTTTAACACTATTAATAGACTGTTCTGTTAAGAGCCAAAGAGTTTTCACTGGCTGATTTTTAAAACTAGATTGCCAGGCCTTACTTCCTACTCTTAGTCTGGAAGCTGTGCTGAAACCTTATCCACCATGGGTGACCCAGATGGCAGAACAGAAACCATCCCAGTATGAGCAATTGACAAGTTATAGGCTTTCCCATTTCTCCTCTTTTCTGCCTCCACTCCCCTTCCTCCATCATTTCCTCGTTTTCCACTGATAAGACCATCACTGCCTTATTAGTTTTTAATTATGTTTTTTAAATCACAAAAAAGAAGAAAAATTTAAAAAATACATAAGAAGGACAGCAAAAATTATTAATTCTGTTACTCTGAGTCATTTAGCTTTCTAATAATTTAGTGTGTGTTAAATAGATGCTCATTTGTGTTTTCAAATGTCCTCTTAAATGTCAAATCCACTATTTAGGCATTGACCTGATATGACTCTTTTCTTGACCTTAATGACACTACTCTTTCTTGATTCCTGTCTCCTTAGGATTTTTGTTTTTCTTTCTACTACCTTTCTTTTTATCTCTTAAATGCTGATGTCCTCAGCGATTTGGTTTAGCCTTGGTCTTTTTACCCTTTTTTTTTCGTTACCTTTGGGTGATATTTTTCACTTTCTGAATATTAGTCCCTACCTCAGGAGCACTGGTGTCATAGTGAGTTCTTTGCACTGCTAACCTAAAGCTCAGTGGTTCAAATCTACCTGTAGCTCTATGGGACAAATACGAGCAGTTTCCTCCTGTAACGATTTACCGCCTTGGAAACCTACTGTAGAGTCACTGATTTGGAATCAATTTGATGGGAGTGGGCTAGCCCCTACATAGCTAATATGGTGATGGCATTAAGTATACACTCTCTACTAAACACATCAACTTAATTGAATTACAGGTACTTGTGAACATTTCAGGTTGATTCCTCTTGCCTCCCACATCTGTTTCTTTGATTCCCATCTAAGTGAATGTTACTCATTATACCTGCTGCCCAACAAGAAACTGAGCATCTTTGTGCTTGACTTCTGATTCATGCTTCACTGTTTCCTTCAGTCTCCTAATCTATTAACTGAACAAGTGATTGATTCTGTTTACATCTGCTTTATCTGAAATGAAACCACTCTTATCTCCATCATCATTCCCCAGTCTCTCTAGTAAATTTGTTTATGTTAGGGTTAGGGTTAGGGTTAATCTTTACTGTCAGTCACTTTGGTGGCTACTGGAATCTCTTGGATGAAGTCTGGAAACATTAGGAAAGGTACATCATGATCTCGAGATGCTCTAGGATCGCACATTTTTTATATGCTTTTTTTTATTGGTTTTATATGCAAGTATCATGCATTGAATTGTGCCCCTCAAAAAAAAAAAAAACCCTCTTGAGGTTAACAGTCAAGTGTTTTAATTTTGTGCATACTCACTGATACCTTAGATTTGGCTGCAAGTTCCTTAAAGTCATGGACCAGACTATGCTTTTTTTCTTGTTATTAGTTGCCATTCAGACTATGACATATAGTGACCCTAGGAATAGCAGATCTGAACCTTGCCCTGTCCTGTACCATTCTCAGGATCTCTGATATGCATGAGTCCTTTGTCAAAGTCATGATGTCAGTCCATCATCTTGGAGGTCTTCCTCTCTTCTCTCACCCTCCACCTTTCCCAGCATGAGATCTTGTTCCAAAGATCCCCTCCTAACAACATGGATTTTCTATTATTTAGTTTTGTGGCACACAGCTATTTTTCACGTTAAACTCCATCATGTTGAATTTGACTTGTAACAAGCCCGTGAACAACAGACCTGACCTAGTCTAGACCATCCTTGCCACTTCTGATATGCATTGTTATAGTCATTGTGAAAATCCATCTTGTTGAGGGTCTTCCTCTCTTTCTCTGACTCTCCACCCTTCAAAAGATGGTTTGTTTTTTTTGTTTTTTCTGAACACTGGCCCTTGCCTCTAAGGAGCACTCTGGTTGTACTTTGTCCAGAGAAGTTTGTTTATTTGTGTATTTGGTGTTTTCCATGACAACATTCCATGACATCCTTTTTAATTGTCCACCTTTCAGATGCTGTAAAAAGAGCAAGTGTCACATAGAAACAACCATATCTGACCTTTACCAACTTCACAAAGGGGAAAGGTCCCTGTCAAGCATCAGTAATGCAAAACCAATTCCTGAGAGGTCAGACATGTTCCCCACGTTTCCTTACACTCTTTTACTCATTTCAACACCCATCTTACTGCTTTGCTAGGGTCCGAAATCCAATGTGGTAGCTTACAGACCATACAGAACTATGTTAGGAAAGTTAAAAGGTTATAAGTTAGTAGCAGAATACAAAACGTGCTTGCAGGAACCTCAGCCGTGAACTGCGAATTATGTCCATTCCCCCCACATCTCAGTCCTGTGTATTGTGGCCCTACCCACAAACTTGGGCAAAGGCTCTTCACTCTAATTCCAATAATGTAGCAGTCCCAAGGCTCCATCTTACATCA